CGTTTCATTGTGAGGAAAGATGCTGATTGATTATCACTGTGATGGGTCATCAGCACATGATCACTAATTGCTTTGTCGCAACTAAAATCCATATCTGAGGGCAAAAGGGGCGTAGCCTCGAGTTTCCTCAGTCCCGAGTTCATTTAATCTATAGGTCTCAGTTCGGTGAGACTTGTAAACTCCTGCGAAGCTGCGATTACAGAAATCTACGTCTTCACAAGATGGTACCATGAGTTGGTACCCCACCAAGCCGAACGGCGCCAGGGGGTATTCGTAATAGTCTGACGACTTTCATCCAGACTGCTGAGGCAGGACTTATCCCAGAGAAAGTGTAAGGTTTAGAGTTTGCCGAAGAGAGTTTTATCCGTGCTGTCCTACTGCCTTCCCGAACCGATTCTGCATATTAATCTGAAACATAGTCCAAGGTTCGTTAACTCACTTCAGGACAATTTCACTGTTCTCCGAATCGTTGAGGCCATACGCTCTATTTAATGCGGCCAGTCTCCAATGCTCTAACGGATGATCATGCTGAAAACACGGAATAAATAAGTGTAATCATGAGCATGGTAAAGTTTAGGGTGTCACCTGAAACAATCGACTGAGGAATTCTATTTGCTGCAGGGGTTGCATAGCTTTGAAGGTGGCACTGTCAATTTTGTCCACATCGGCTTCATTGGCCTCAATCCATTGTTTAAATAATGCTTCACAAGCGACCACCATGGCTTGTCCATAGCTGAAAAAAATCTGTTGAATCTGCTCAGTGCGCAGGAAAAAGCTTCGGAAAGTCGGTGGGAAGTCGAGAAGTTTCAAGAAGCTTGTAGATAGGATGGAGGCTGGGGAGGGGAATGGTCGTTGAAGAAGAGGGATTTTTGAATGGTATCGTATTTTGTAAAAACCATCTCCAACGGTAGGACGTGCCGTGCCCCGCAGAGGGTGGTTTGGTCACTTCACGAAATCCGTTCCAGGGGAAAGGATAACGACACAAGCGAGGACGAACAAGCAAGAAAAAAGGGAGCCGTCGCCTCTTTTTGTGTTATAGGAATCAGTTAATGGGAAAGAAACTATTTGAGGTACACCATCAGTTAGCAGAACTGCGAAAAATGCTTGGAACATCATGGTGAAATTGGTGCGTCAATGCTACCTCCACCCCGCCCCTAAACTTCCTTTTCCGGTACCACCCCTCATCCCTACCAAACTTGCAAAACTCCTCCCTACCATACTTGCAAAGTCTTTTTTTTGAGAAAAACAGTCCTTCTAGGGGAATGGGAAGTCCTTGTCCGTGAACTGGTTACATAGCAGTTTTGCCCGCATAATTGGCCACTCTTCCGATTGGGTTGGGCAGGGGGGGGGGTAAAACGCGTGAAACGATCAACTAGTCAAAAGGACTTCTCTCGAGAAAATTTTCCTAGGGTCAATGTAAACCGCTTCCCCCGACTAAGTACGACCTCTTCGTAATTTTGCGAGACAAGTTCTTGAGGAATACTTGAACAGGTACGTGGGGACTCAATCCGCGGTGTTTTTCGGAGCAAACTTTGAAGTAAAATATATTTGGCCCTCCACTGTCGATAGTAAACTACAGTCTTGTTCGCTGCGGACGCTAGGACGTTTCATGGAGGCCGGGTCCGTCGCTAATCCAGCCTGCTTCGCATCAGTTCTGGAAGCCGGCAGGCGATTATAGTTGGTGGAGAGCAGGGCACATGTCGCGCCAAACCCAGCCTAGTGAAAGACCCCAGCACTCGCAGCGAACCAGACTGCGCGTCAGATCCTTTTCAAGTAGCTGAACTCACCTCGGTTTCTCCGGTGGCATGCCAACTGCATAGAACCATGCGTCGAAGTCAACTGTGTTCAGAATATCCTTCTTGTCCTGAAAAGATGTCTTTTGAACTGGACTTTAATTAATTAGAGTTTTATTAGTTTTATTACACTAGTAGTTTAGTTTAGAGTTAAGAATCCATTATGAAGATCACTCACATGAAAGTACTCGTGAAGATGTTTTTTCCACTGAAAACTATCGATAGCCATGTGTGCGAATGTAGTCAAATAGTCCCGTAGGTATGGTTCAAAAACTTCTGAATAGTACTGATTACACACTGATTTTGAGAATTCGGAGTACTGCTGGAGTTGAGTTCTTTTATATAGCACCCCCTGTTCAAGCTGCAAGCCCTGGTGGGCCGAGATGACCATGCCCCTTCAAGTCTTAAAAGTGATTTAAACAGTAGAGCGGATCCTTTCTCATAAGGCACACACGAGAATGCAACGTCTGGATCGACATTTGTGTGGTCCTGGATTAGCTTGGTGAATTGGTGAGTGGGCGTGAACTGTTCGTACACCTACAATGAGAAATGAGTAAGTGATAATGGTAACATGTAAAATAAGTAATAGTAAAAATCAGCGATCATTTCGAAAAAAGACGGTTTTGAATTCTTTCCTCTCAAACGAAAGTACCTTGGGAGAACTCTAAAAGAGAGACATTATGAACTTTGGAAGGTAGGCATATTTTTTATCTCTCGAAGCATAACTTTCACACTCCTTATCCCTGAGAAGGGGTAGGCGTGGCATTTGAACATGGCACAGAATGAGTCACTTGGAGCATTTAAGTCTGAGACAACTGCCATCTTGTTCAGTGTCGGACAGAGACATGACTACAATTGCGTCAATGTGGAAATATCTCACCGAGACCACAGCTACCGCATCGTTTAGCTGAAATTCTCAGCCACGCCTACCCCATCTCAGGGATTTCGAGTGTATAAGGGTACAGCATCGTGATTTGTGAAATCGTAGTGTAGGTACGATTCCCCCCTCCGAGAGGGGGTGTCAGTACAACCTTCCCCCTTCCCCAACACCTGCCTACCAACTTCTACATTTTCCAGTCCAGTTTTTCACCCAAAAAAATTTTCGTCGAAGGAGGGGGGGAGGTGGGGAATGGGGGGAAGGTATATAGAACACATGAAGAAGGAAAAATCACGCAAAAGTCAGCAACCGAGAAAAATTTTCTCCTGACGCACCAACGCAGCAAACTTCTCCCTAACGCACATACGACCCCCTCCCTCTCTCCCAACGACCAAATACGACCCCCTCCTCCTCAGCGGAAAAGTACGACCCCCCTAATGTGTTTCGCACAACGATGCTGTACCCTGAGTGTATATCTTCATATAACTTTTACACCTGAAAGCCCCGTCAACTGTAGATAGAGCTCCGCCCACTTGGAACGCTCCGAGGGTTCATCGTCTAGTTCGCATCTCTTGCACCGTATTATCTTTAGCTATTAGGCTCATTTCATACTTGTGACTCGCGCGACTCATTCTGTGATCGACAGTGCCCAACCATAGTAGGACCGCTACAACTTCCAATTCGATCACATTCAGGATAGAACTACCTTTTTTTGATTGATAGTGTATCTGTCCTACAACTAACTATGAAGCGCGGTTGATCGCGATCTCCTTATCGCGCGACCGAATCGCGCGAGTCGCGAAGTATAAACGCAAGCCTGTATCCTGTCTCAGGAATTTTTCGAGACCCAGAAGCCTTACACCCTGGAAGCGTGGCTTCCGGTTCCTTTGTGTACCGCTAAAGGATGGTATCCATCAGATTTGTGGTAGCAGTTTTGAGAATTTTATTAAATTCCGTGCCTAGAGGCGAAAACTCAAGAAAATCAATCACATTCTTGAAAAGTCAGTAAGGCCGTATTTGATTGTACTGATAAACCACTAACAGCTGACGTGAGATTGTTTGTCCAGCCATTATATGCCATGAACTGTCGATAGTCCTCACTAACCAATCGACCACAAATCTTC